GGGTAGCCTGCACGAGGAGATCTGGCTTCGCCGTCCACCTGGCTTCACTGGGACTTTCCCTCCTGGCACCCAGTGGAGCCTCAGACGGCCAGTCTACGGTCTCCGCCAGGCACCGCGTGAGTGGCACGACACACTGAGGACTACGCTTGCGGCTCTTGGGTTTGCTCCTTCTACTGCTGACCCGTCGCTGTTTCTTCGCACCGACACTTCCCTGCCGCCGTTCTACATCCTCGTGTACGTCGACGACTTGGTCTTTGCCACAGCGGACACTGCTGGACTCGCCTACGTGAAGTCCGAGCTGCTGAAGAGACACACGTGCACAGACCTGGGTGAACTGCGCAGCTACCTTGGCTTGCAGATCACTCGGGACAGAGCACGCCGCACCATTACCTTGACTCGGTCACACATGGTGCAGCAGGTCCTTCAGCGCTTCGGCTTCACGTACTCCTCGCCTCAGGCCACTCCTCTGCCTACTCGCCACTCACTCTCAGCTCTGCCTTCGGATGAGTCCGTAGAGTCGAGTGGTCCGTATGCAGAGCTTGTTGGCTGCCTCATGTACCTGATGACCTGCACACGACCTGACCTTGCATACCCTCTGAGCATTCTTGCACGCTATGTTGCTCCTGGGAGACACAGACCAGAGCACATGGCTGCAGCGAAGAGGGTATTGCGCTACCTGTGCAGTACGTCGGGCATGGGGCTAGTGCTTGGAGGGCGGAGTCCAGTGGTCCTTACCGGCCACGCGGACGCTTCTTGGGCTGACGACCAGGCTACGCAGCGGTCGTCACAGGGTTACACCTTCAGCCTTGGTTCCGGCTCTGTCTCGTGGCGGTCTACTCGCTCGTCTTCGGTTCTCGGCTCCAGTTGTGAGGCTGAGATCTACGCCGGGGCCATGGCTGCACAGGAGCTTCGCTGGCTCACCTACCTGCTGACTGACCTTGGAGAGCCGCCTCGTTCTCCTCCAGTGCTGTACGTAGACAACAAGGCCATGCTGGCCTTGTGTCGAGAGCAGCGTTTGGAGCACAGAACGAAGCACATTGCTCTCCGCTACTTCCTTGCTCGTGAGCTGCAGCAGCGTGGTCAGTTGCGACTTGCGTACGTGGCCTCTGAGGCCAACACTGCTGATGTGTTCACCAAGGCACTCGCGCCTTGTGACCATCAGCGCTTTTGCACCCAGCTGGGTCTTGTACCTGTCTTGCCTTACTTGCTCTCCTCTTGACTTCACTTGTACTGTGACATATATATATACCTGCTCTTGCTTGTCTAGTTTTATATATATGTCTGTACTCCTGCATGTGAACTGGCCTCTGGCCCTCCTCTTGTGCTCGGACTGTGTGGTGACTTTGTGATCCACCCTGAGCTTGCTTTGCTTTGCTTTGCTTGACTGGTCTTGTGACCCCTTGTTCTCCCCCACTTAGCCTATGGGGGTGTGTCAGAGTATTATAGCTGATGCATGTTTGTAGGCTATAGTGGGGTAGCACATATGGGGTACAGCTTTCTAGGGTTGTATTTGTACCCAACTCTGACTTAGTCATTTCATTCCTGCTTACTCATTTTCAGAAGGGCTTGTGCCCACTTTTCCTCACTTGTTGTAGACTTTGCCTGTATTGTGATCTATATATATAAACCTGCATGCTTGCTAGATATAGATCACTGTGATGCTTGTGCTACATATATGCCTCTGCATGTGAACTGGCCTTGTGGTCCTTTGCTTGTGCTCAGAGTGTGTGGTGACGTTGTGATCCACCCTGAGCTTTCTTTGTCTTTCTTGACTGGTCTTGTAATCCCTTGCTCTCCCCCACTTAGCCTATGAGGGTGTGTCAAACATTATATATGTTTCTGTTGTGTAGGCTACAGTGGGTTGGCCTTTAGGGGGTACACTTCTCTAGGGTTTCCTACTTGTACTCCAACATCTTTCTAGTTCAACACTTCTTGTTTCTGACAAATGGTGTAGGCCATCATCGACTAAAAAACCAAAGTTGGCAATGTTCTTTTGGTGTGCCATGCGCTAGGAATTGGGCCCTTTCTATGAAGTATTTGCATACTTGAGCCACTTTCATCATGGCTTCAAATCCGAAGCCCTAGGCAAATAAGCCCTTGTCATCAAAGGGATTTGAAGTATGAAACTTCAAAATGCCTAGCATTTGTGTTTGGTAAATTATAGCATCGCTGCCTACTGCAACTCCAACGAATTGATGTTGTTCTTGCGCATGAGCATTCGCACCAATGGGTACGAAGGCAAAGGAGCTTCGTGGCTGCTGTTGAGGAAGAATTCGATAAGACGTAGGTTTCTGTTGAGCATACGAGGTCCCATCAACACTCATAGTTGTTGTCCCCATGTTCACTGACGTTGATGCTTGTGGTGCTGGCGTAAATTATTGCGACATAATGTTAATCAGCTGTTATTGTTTTGCAAGACCAACGGTGCTGAGTGTGATCCAAACCCACGTGAAGGATGGAAGTTTCTCTAGCGCTTCCTACTCCAGTTGCTGATACAGGTGTTGATGTAAGGGCAAACGTAGCTCCAGAGAATGGTGGATCATAAGGATGTGTCCCACCACTCCACCTTCATAGTGGGTTTTGCCATTGTTTGCCATCCTTGGTAATAATCAAGATCTGTTGAGAAACTAAGTTGTGGTACACAGTCTAGGAAATCGTAGAATCTTTAGCTCTCATACCATGTTGGGCGGAGGAAAGCCCTAGAATTGTTTTAGCGACTAGACATCAATTTCTGTAATTGTAAACTGAGAACAATAATAGAACAATAACAATACATAGATATATGTATATGTATATATAGTCCTAGAAAAGTACCTATCAAGTGATGAACCGGTTCACTAATTGAGCTTTTACCGATGCATCACTCCTAAAGGGTACTTCTAGGTCATGAGACTCCTAAGAATGTGTATCTTTACCATTTGCTGTATGACATAGAACCGATTCCGCTTGTGGATGCTCCCAAATTGCTGTCGTTAATGGTCACTGCTAGTGTTGCCGAGAATCGGGCTGCGAGGGCCTAGCATTGAACTGACTACCGAAGGAACTCATGCCCACAGCCTCGGATAATCTGCATGTGGCACAGATACAGGATGCAAGTCGCTACCAGCAATGATGACCAGAGAACAGGAAGGTGGCAGACTCATGTGTGGCCATGGGAGGAGAGGTGTATCTCCGCAAGGCTAGGGGGGACATGTTGGACATGGCAGTAGGGGCCAAAAGGTGGAAGGTGAAAGAGGTGTGCCCCTCTGAAGTTTTGGTACTGGCGGACGATAAGGGCAGGGAACTCAAGGAGCATGTGACCAACGTGCCTGTGGAGTGCACGTCCTTTGACCAGGGTCACCAACGCTAAGGCTCTGGCAAGGGAGTGGGCACAGTAGCTTGGCCTATGGAGGGAATGTGGGAAGCATGGGCCAAATGACGAGAGTGAGAAGGCAAAGGTGAAGGGTGGGTTGGTAAGCAGAGCAGTAAACTGGAAAGAGAAGGTATGATAGGATGAGGGAGAGTTCACGACAACTGTAGTGCTATTGAACTCGGGTTATAGACGAGGCTGACTTAGCACATCAGCTTAGGTGAGTTGCCTTTTGATTTTTGTTTGCTCGCTTGTTGACTTTGCTTTCTGACTTTCGCGTATTGTACAATATTATATAGCGTGGTCTGGTTATTTCGGGTTGGAGGGCAAGGTTGGTATTTAACCACCGAGGAGGCTGGTATACCCGAGCCTCAATGTAGTTGGTGACAATATCCCAATGCATGTGGTACGGGGCTGCAGGGCTGTGGGATGACGTGATCCAGCTAGCCCGAAGGCAGCCAGGTTGCACCAAGGGAAGAACACGAGCCATTTCTACAAGTGAAGACCACGTGATCTATGTGATCCAGGCAGTAGGGACCAGCAGGATAAGGAGGGGACATGGGAGGGAGCCTGCTTCTTGTTTGTTTTCACCTATTCCGAGGGTACATTCCTGCCTTGACAAGCGTTTGTGATGCCTAAAATGAAGTCATGTCAAGGCAGGAATGTACCCATACTGGAACAAGAGTTAAGCAGCAAATAGCTGTTTGGGCAAGAGTCTGGCTGAGCAAAGAAGAGTGTGGCTTAGCCTTGTTCCAAGAGTAGCTTGGACTGTGGAGGGAAAGTCAGAAGCGTGGGCCAGGTGATGGGAGGGGGAGGATGAAGGTGAAGAGGGGGTTGATGGGCAATGGGCATGATAGTCAGAATGATGGGCATTCTTGCGCATCGCACGCCCCATCATGGGGAGGGTTAGAGCGAGGGGGAGCGGGGAGTGTGGGTGAAGAAGAGGATGGGGAAGGAGATGGGAATGGTATGGGGACGGGCAAGGGAGAGGGGCTGGGGAGTGGGAGGGGGAAAGGGAAGGGGAGGGGGAGGTGGAGAAGAGGGGGGGGGGAGGGGGAGCGGCAGGTCCAGCGGTAGCAAGAGGGGAAGGGCCAAGGAGACGGGCAGGAAGAGAGCGAAGAGGGGAAGGATTGGGGATGGGGAAGGGGAATGGGGAGTGGCAGGGGGAGGGGTAGGAGGAGGGGGAGGGGTGGGAATGCGGCAATGGAAGGGGGAGGGGAAGAGGGATGGGGAGGAGGAGAAGGAGGAACTGGGGGATGGGGAGGGGGAGAGGGATTTAGGTTTGAAGCTTGATGCTTCCTTGGTATACATACACCCCACAGTATCTCCGGTGTGTGTCTGGCTTGCTTATGTGTGCATTAACCCCATCACTGACACAGTGGAAAGCCTCATGTGAGACAAAATAACAATTCAATTCCCAACCCTGCTCACTACTAATTTTCTCAGGAACGAGTAGATGAACATACAAAACACCAACTTGCCCAACCCCTTCTACTTCCCCTTCCACGCTTGCCCCTAGCCCTTGCTGCCTCATTGATTGGAGCACAGCGAGTAAATACATGGCGAACCCTGCACACCTTCCACGCCATGATGCTGCACCTGCACCTGCTCCTCTGCCCCCCTCTACTGCTCTTGATGCTTGTTTGGCCGTTCAGAAGGTACCCTGCTCTGCTCCTCCGCCCTTCCAATTGCCCTTGATTGGAACCTGCAAATCCATGGATGGCCCTCCTTCCCCCTTGCCCGATCTCTGCAATCCCCCCAACTTCCCTCCAACCATCTGCCCCCATCTTCTCCCCTCACTTCCCCACCGCCTGCCGATCAGCTCCAGGCTCCACCCCCTACACGCACTGCTCCCCTCTGCACCACCAAGCGTCACAGCAGGGCGTCTCACATCCACTGAGCCATTCTCACAGGAGTGCGGGCCCCACCCCACTACCCCATTGCCTCAACACGCTATATTGCAGCACCACCACACAGAACCCTACAGGCATACTCCAAGCCTCCATCAGCGGACCCCTAAACGTGCTCCGCCACCCCTCCAGGCTCACTACCTCATCTGCTCTTCCCCAATCCCTACCCCAAGGGCACATCGCCTCCACCCACCACATGCGCCTCTCTCTCCTCCTCGCCCCTATTTGCCCCGCTGCTTTCCCCTTGCCCACGCCCTGCTGCCGCCTCACCCACACCAGGTTGGGTCTTAAGTCGCTTGGCAGCAGATGCCTGATTTTCCAACCACTCGTCTTGCTGCATATTTGCCTCTCTTCCCCCTGTATCTGCCTCCCCTCTTCCTCTCCTTCGCTCTCCTCCCCCCAGCCCTATCTCTGCGATCTCATTTGCTCCACTCACCTTCCCGTCCACTATGTCCCATGAACGTGAATGCCCTTGACTTTCAACTAACATTCCTCTTTCTCCTCCTCCTCCTCCCCTCTTTTCTCTCCCTCCTCCTTCACCTCCTTCTCCCCCCTCACCTCCCCCCTCTCCTCCCCCACCCCTCCCCTCTCCTGCCCTATCTCCTCCCCCCTCTCCTCCACTTCCTCTGCCCTCCTCTGTCCTTCCTACCCGGCCAGGCCCCTCAGAGGTCATCACAGCAGCAGCGCGCTGGCTGTCACTCTCACCGGCCTCGTCACATGCACTCATGGCTGAGAACTGCCGCACGGGCCTACCGCACAGGGGGTCACCACCTCCCCCACTTGACCCTGCCTGGACAGCTGCAGCAGAGGGGAGAGAGGCGAGGGAGGCAAACGGGGGTTTGAGGACGGGCTCACGGGCTGTTGGTCCTGAAGTGCGTTCAGTCGCAGCCGCTTTTGCAGTGGCAGTGGCAGTGGCAGTGGCAGCAGTAGGTGTGGTGGGAAGAGAGACACCTTGAGAAAATGAGGGGATATGAGGTGCCACCACTGCTGCTGCTGCTACTGCTGCTGCTGCTGTTATCCCCGCTGCCACTTCTTTTCCTTCCACCGTGTTTCGAGTTATTGGAAAGAATGGGTTAGAGGAGCTGCTCGTTTGCTGCTGCTGCTGCTGCTGCGACAGCGGCTGTGGCAAGGGCTGCTGGGGCGGCGGGGTGCCTTGCATCAGCGGGTGGTGCTGCTGCTTGCGGCGCCTGCGGTTGTGACCCAGCAGGCGCCTGCGACAGCTGCGACGGCTGTCGTCAAACTCACACAGGTCGTGGAAGCTGCCAGAGGGGGCGGCGCAGGGCAGGCAGAGTGGGGAGGGAAGTGAGGGATGGTGAAGAGGGTAGTGAGGGGTTCGCCTGGCTCAGAGGACGAAGTGAGGGTTTTCCAAGAGGGCCACATCACTCCTCTAGAGTGGTGGTGTAAGGTGGTGGCGGTGAGGAGAGTGGGACAGCAGCAAGAACACATAATCAATGAAGTGGAACAGAAGAAGGAGCAATGAAGGAAGAGGATTGAAGGAGCAATGAAGGAAGAGGATTGAAGGAGGAGACACGAAGGGGGAGTGCAGGACACATGCATGCAGCAACAGAATGCACAGCCACGCATGCAAGGCAGCTCATACCGGCTGCACTGCTGGCAGAAGCGCTGTGCCTTGCCCTGGATGTGCACGTGCGTGGCCTTGGCGTGTGCTTCGCACACGCGGTGCCGCCTGTAGTATTCCTTGTGTGACGTCAGCTCCACGTCACAACTGTCCACCTGGCAGATGCGGTGAGCGGATAGGGGGAAGAAGGGAGAGAGTGCGGCGGAGCGGGTTTAGCGGTAGGGGTTTCGGGGGAGAGAGAGAGAGAGGCGGGGAGGAGGGAGTGGGAGGGCTGCGAGGCAGCACTCATGAGTAGCCCCCCAAGCTGTCTGCTGCCTAGTGTGTGTCGCCTCTTGCTCCCACCATCACGTCACCAGCAATCCCCAACCAGCCCCTCCATCCACCACATGGACACACCTTTCTCCTTTCCCATCCCCTTCTCCCCCACCCTCCCCATCCCCACCCCCCTAACCCTAACCCCCAAACCTCCCTCTCTCTGCCACTCCCCAACCCCCTCCTCTCTCTCCCACCCCCGAACCCCAAACCTCCCACTCTCCCTCCTAATCCCGGTCTCCTCCCCTCCACCCTCTCATACTCTCGCCCCTCCCCCACATCGCCCTCCATGGTCCCCATCATTTTCTCCTTCCCCACCTCCTTCCCTTCCCCCTTCACTCCCTCCCCCTTCCCCACCCCCCTCTCCCCCTCCCCATCCCCCTCCCCCGCCCCATCCCCCTCCCCCTCCCCCTCCCCCTTCCGATCCCCATCCATCCCCCTCTTTGCTCACTTGCCCGTCTCCTTGGCCCTTCCCCTCTTGCTACCACTGCCCTGCCGCTCCCCCTCCCCCCACCCCTCTCCACCTCCCCTTCCCCTCCCACTTCCCAGCCCCTCTCCCTTGCCCGTCCCCATACATCCCCTTTCCCATCTCCTTCCCCATCTTCTTCTTCACCCCCTCCGCCTCTCTAACCCTCCCCCACCCCCTCCACTTCTGCATCTCCTTCCCCTTCCCCCACCCCATCCCCTTCCTCCTTCCCCTTCTCCTTCCCCATCCCCCTCCCTTTCCCCTTTCCCTTCCCCTTCCCCCTCTCCTTCCCCATCCCATTCCTCCTCCACCTCCCACTCCCATTGATTTCCCATCCCCTTCCCCATTCCCCTCCCACGCTCACTCCACCACCCCCTTCCCCTCCCCATTCCCCTCCTCCTTCCTCTCCCCATTCCCCTCCCCCTTCCCCTCCCCCTCACCCTATCCCTCCCCCTCCCCCTCACGTTCCCTATCCCCGTCCCCATCCCTCTCCCCCTCTCCCTGCCCTTCTCCATCATATGCCCTCCCTCTTCCCCCCCCCTTCCCCCCTCCCCTTCCCTCCCGCACCACCTCACCCTCCCCCTCCCCCTTCCCCATCCCCCTCCTTTTTTGCCTCCCCTTCCCCCTCCCATCCTCACTCCCCTTCCCTCTCCCTCTCCCCTCCACCCCCCCCTACTCCTTTCCACTCCCCCTTCCACTCCCCCTTCCACTGGTGCATCTCATCGCATGCTCTCCCCCTTGCCGCACGGCAAGTGCGTGCTGCTCTCACCTGGCAGATGAACGGGTCACTGCTGCCACCTCCGCCCCGCACGCTGCTCCCTCCCCCCACCGAGCCCCCCTCCGCTGCTCCCCCCATGGATCTCCCAGGCCCCGCGCTCGCCCCTCCGCTGCTCGCCCTGCCTGCTTTGCCGCTACCAACTTTGCCCCATCCCCCTGCTTCTCCCCGCCCACTCCCCCCCGTGTCCCCCCTCCCAGTCACCCCACTGCTCCCCCCACTCACACTGCCCTCCCGCTCCCCCCCACTCCATATTCTGCCACTGGCGCCGCCTCCTCGCCCACTCCCTGCGCCCCTGCCCTCCTCGTGCCTCTCCTGCGCCACCTCTCCGCCCTCCCCATACCTCGAGCCCACAGCGCCAGCAGTAAGGGCCGCAGCAGCAAGCTCGCCTGCGCTGGGCCCCACAGCCCCACAAATTGCTATCCCAGCACTTGAGTCCACAGCTCCCCCCACCGCCACCCTCCCTTCCCCCACTCCCCCCTTGGCGCCCACACCCCCCTGCAGCGCCAGCCCCGCCCCCAAGCCCAGCCACACATCCTCCCGCGGGCCAACCTGTAACCCCTCTGCTCTGGACCCGGACGTGCCTACCTCCACGGGCGTGCGAGCATGAGTGGGAGACACTTCTCTGCTGCTGCGTGCACGCAGCAACAGCTCTGACAGACCCCTCGCTCCAACCTCGTCCACTCTCTTGCCTTGTTGCTCCGCGGGCGGCAGCAGCGGCTCCTGCTGTTTTGCCATCACGTGGAAGTGCTGGGGACCCTGGTGCATAGCATTGCCTCGCCTTGCACTGTCCCTGCCTCCTCCCACTGACCCTTGTCTCTCCTCCCCCGTCCCTTGCCCCACTCCACTGTTCCTCCACGGTGGCAAACCTCCTGGGTCCAGCAACTGCTGCTGCTGCTGCTGCTGCTGCTGCTGCTGCTGCTGCTGCTGCTGCTGCTGCTGCTGCTGCTGCTGCTGCTGCTGCTGCTGCTGCTGCCGTGTTTGTTGCTGCTGGTGCTGCCACTGATGCAGCAACTTCCCCTGCTGGAGCCCGAGTTGTCGCTCCTGCTGCTGTGCCTCCTGTTCACTGGCAGTGAGCATCCGGGGCAGCCCGTCGTTGCTACTGCTGCTCACGGCACTGCTGCCAGGGAACCCAAGGGACAGGAACGCCCCTCCCAGACAATTGCTGCCCTCCTGCGGCACCTCGCTTCCCAGACTCCCTCTCAGCGTGCGCCTGAAATCACCTGCACCAGTCGCACCACCATCACCAGCAGCAACAGCAGAAGCAGAAGCAGCAGCAGCAGGTTGTTGAGGGAAGGCGGAGTGCAGTGGTGCAGCGGCGCCGCTGCAGGGGTCATCACGGCGTTGGTACGCTGCCAACGCAGCCATGCCTTGCGCCCCAGGAGCCTCCGCCTGTCCCAGGCCAAAGAACCCTTTCAGCTCCTCCTTCTGCCCCCCACCTTCCCCTCCTCCTCCTCCCCGCACTTCTCCCGCTGCCCCGCTCCCCTTACCAGCTCCTCTATCCTCTTCTCCTGCTGCTTCCCGTTCGCCCAGCAGAGCGAACCTGATCTCACGAGCCGGAGGCAGGGCAGGCTGCGACAGAGCAAGACCGCTGCCCCACTGCACGCTCGCTGCGCTCGTCCTGCCCGCACCCGTTTCCTGACGTCCTCCTCTCAAACCAATTGCCGCTCGTCCTGCCGCTGGGCTGTTCTCACAGTGCCCGGGCGCCACCCCAGCTTTCATGGCGTGAAGGAGGGACGAGGGGAACCCTATCAACGGCACCTCTTGTGTCTGCTCGCGACTCGAGCTCCGTGCACCGGCAGCGCTGTGGCGCTGCTGTTCGTCCTGTCCGCATGCTAGCACCAGGGGCGGAGGGGCGCCTGGAGGGGTCACTCGCGGCGCCAGCTGCAGCGGCGAGCCGACGCCCACGGCAGTTGTTGTAGCTGCCAGGGACAAGGGGAGAGCGCCGTGAAGCGAAAGCTCAGCTGCGCTTCCAGGGAGATCACGGTACACTGAAGAGCGCTCTTCATTGCGGGGGGGGTTCAAATGAGGCCGTGCGGCTGCTGGCACGACCCTACTACCAGTGCTGGTATTCTCCGCGCCGAACGGAACTACGACTCCAGCAGACGCCCCCACTGGCAAATTCCACGGATTTGGCGGGAGATTTAAGTCGCCGCCCGACGTTTCTAAGCGGCTTCTGGCGATTTCGAGTGAAGGAAGCAATCGCTGTTCGCCGGCGGGTACAAAGGGAACGCCACGTAAGATGGTGGCGGGATCGGCGGGCAAGTGACGCATGGCGATCGATGATGCGGCCTCGCTCGCTGCCTCGTCGACTCGCTGCGATGACGCGCTGCCGCGAACAGAGTAGTCGTGTTGATCCATGAATGGGATGTTTTGTGCTGCAGTCATCACGCCGACCAATCTCGATGCATCATTGCCGCGTTCGTGTACTGCGGAGTTTCTCTAAAAATTCAGGAAGAAAAAATCCAGGGTTTTCTCTATCCGACTTTCTACCACAGTACTAGGTTTGTCGGAATATGATAGTAATTTCTAGGCCTACTACTTCTCCGTGGAAAAATCTTCGGGTGAATTTTTGAGTGGAATGACGGCGATTCTTTGTATATGCGATTCGGCGAGTTTCCACAGATCGGATCTGAGTGGCGTTGAAACGACTAAGCTCTGTTAGAGGTGAATGAGCGGCTGGAGGATGTTTTCCAGTTCTGTGGCTGGTTGGTGGCAGACGGACTCAGCGGAGGGGGGTGCGTCGATGCGAGCAAAGAGAGGCGTCTTTCACAAGACTGTACTACACGTACTACTGCAAGCTGTGTCGTGAGATGTCAGGTGTCCCTGCTTTGAATTGAGGTTACGCACAATGTCTGGCCTACCCAGCTCCAACGTGGACCCTCCATCTGGACGACGGGGGCCGACAGGTCCACTCAACGGAAGGCCGCTGCAGATGCCGCACAAGGTTTGAATGCTGCTGTGCGGAGAATTCGCGCCATAATGTGGGCGAATGGAGGGCTCTGGACTGGAAACTGGTCAAACGAATTTTTTCTGCTCCTCCTGGAGCCAAAAATAGTGGGATCCCCACTGACAAGAAGTATAAAATGAGATATCACAGAAAAACAGTATTAACATTACGAATATAATACGATTCAACATGTGTGTATCTCGTTCAGGGGTCACAGAAAAAATTACGCGCATTTTCAGCCACACGATGATAATCCGGAAATCGGACTTGGCGTAAACGTTGCCTGTTACTGCTGCTCTTTATTAAATAAATGTTTAGAAGAATGTGGCATTCGTAATCACTGATGGAGAATCTTGAAATAAGCTCGTGCAGACTAATTGGGAGCATTACCCTGGAATTGAGCACCCAGCTGCAGAAATCGTAGACCACGAGTTGTACAATCGTCCCACGGGGACTGCTCGTCGTGACGAAACATACACATCTGCAAGTGGGACCACCTTCCGTACAATACGAAGTTAGTAAGTGGACATGATGGCTGGCTTTGGCTTTGGACATGATCGGCCAACAAAACGACAAATTGATCCTCTTGCTGGGGAGATGGTGAAGCACGTCAGAGCGAGTTGCTACACAAGGTGTGCTTGCGTCGTTATTGAAGAGGACAGGAGCCGCACACATCCGGCTAGCCAGCCCAATGGCGCCTTCACCCCAAGCTGTTGCTACTGTCGTTGCCCCAAAGAACTTGCATCAGCCCGAGCCCGTTTGGATATGAGACCTGAGCTGAAACAAACCCGGCAATCATCCTTCCAGAAGCGGATCTTGTGCCACAACCAGCAACAAAAATCATGAGCCTTGCTCTCTGGGCCAGAAAGTGAACTCGGAAGTCAGAACATCAGGGAAATTTGTACACACTCTTGGGTTCATCGTCCTAGCACACCTGAAGTTCATCATGCCCGACGGTGGATGCGCTGCTGTGCGGACACTTTGATGCAATTGGTCGGCACGGCAGCAGCAAAAACATGCACTTTAACAATTTCCATTCGGATCTAGCTTTGACACAGAACTGGCAATGCTCTCGCCCGCCCATACGCACGTGGTGAAGTAGCCGTTTGCGGGCAGCATTAAGTCACGGGTTAAGGTCGTATCCCTGGCTGGTGGCAAGAAGTTGGTGGCAAGAAGTTTCCGCGCGCGATTGGTCCAAAACAGACGCCCGGCCAATGCGATTGGTCAAGCGGTTTTTTTAACCAATCGCATGCGCAAAATTCTTGCCACCAACTTCTTGCCACCAGCCAGGGATACGACCTAACACGAAAAACAACACTAATTATTGTTTCCTGGAGGGGTGGGTGCGAAAGAGGAGAGGGGAGGGGTTGGGGGGGGGGGGGAGTGCGGGCGGCGGTTTGGGGGGAGGGGGAGGGGGGAATAGGTGGGTTGGTAGAACTCCACTGAACAAGTTTCGCGACTAAAAAGTACAGTGTACCAGAGAGAAGCGGGTGGCCAATCCGCGCCTGGTCAAACCTCTGGTTAAGATTACGGTTGTACAGTTCCATGGTAGCTTGAACTTGGGCGTAACTTTGAGACGGAAAAAGAGGCTTGAACTACGTGTACAAAGTGCGCAAAAACTCGACGTCGAGCAACGTCGGTGAATCTCCACCCTCGGATCAAAGGTTCCAACCGTCAAGATTCACCGACGTCGTCGACGTCGAATTTGTGCAGCACTTTGTACACGCCGTAATGAAAGCCAGTTGGTGAGAACTGGGGCTGTTTTTTTTCGAAAATAACATCAGTGGTTATTTGATACGAGAGCGATAATATGCCTGCCCTCGTGAAGGTATTTCTTCTGCCCCCGTGTGTAAACTACAGTTCAAAACATCTGCTGGGAAGACCTCCCCATTATGTACGGCTTTGATTCCAAATCTTTCGAAATGCCTTCTGAACTGTACACCAACCCCCTTGCACTTCGGTCGGTAGCGTACACGAGAAGTGCAACAGCATGTTTTAGCCTCTTGCGATTATGGGTCTTCGCAACTCTTTTCGAAGTTACACATTTTGGACAAATACGCAGTAATTACATTCGGAAGCTGCAGACTTGCATACTCATACACCTTGTTTCTCAACGTTCTGACAATCGGGGGCCCGGGCTACAGTGCGAACGTGCGCTTGGAGTTTGCGGGCTGGTGCTTGCAGCCGAACCCCAGGTAGGTGGCGGGCAAATGCAGTCCATTTGAGCGATACAAAACGTTTTTATGACAGAACATTGCTATCGCGTACGGTTGAGTGCGGCATATTGTGCTTATATGCCATGTTCTGGGACCGTTTTGGACGCGTTGATGTCAGAAAAGGCGGCATGTCAATACAGCGATTTTCAGTGTGGCGCGGAACTAGGTGTACATTCAACACGCCCGAAAAGAATATCGACTATGTCTCATAACCACCCCAGAAAATTCTGAAACTAGCTGTGATCTCTCCGTTCAATTTCAAACGAGACATCCAGAATACTTATAGAAGGTTCTAGGTGTAATCAGCATACCTGGCTGTATGAGGAGCGAAAGGGTGCGGCGGGCTCATGAATCCTCCAAAGTTCTCAACCTGAGACTCGGACTCATTTGAAGGCCAACCTGCGTGGGTTGGATTGGAGCAGCAATTGCGGCAGCGGATGACTGGACTTACAGTAACCGAAGGGCCTGACGGCCCGTCACATTCGAAACAAAGTTGAGCTGTCGCACATCCCTGAGGACGCGTCACCTCTCTCGATTTTGCACGATAGATCGTCAAAAGCCGATCGCCAACCGCACTTCAAACCTGCAAAATCGATCGATCGTGCAAAATCGAGAGAGGTGACGCGTCCTGAAGCTGTTCCCCGGAGGGATTGCGATTTCAAAACAAGCTGAACCGCAACTGCGTCGTCATCAATCTCGGCTGATGGTCAATTGGTTGACAAGTGTTACGGGTGCAATGAATCTAGGTAGCGAGGATTGCACTAAGTGTCAAACGAGTACAAAATGTGAGCGAAGGCATGACCTAACATTTATACGCGAAACATGCAAACGGTAACGCGGTGCGTGCGAGCTAGCTAGTGCTGTCAGAAGTCCACTGGTGATCCCCGATTGATCCTAGGGAAGGGTTACAGGCACGGTTGCCTGGGGGGTTATGGGCGCACTGACCCGCTACTGAAACAAGCCCTTTTATCCCAATGGTCTAGTGGTTGGGATTCTGAGATGGTATCCAGAGCGAAGGTCTCGGGTTCGAATCCCGGTGTATGCACTTCGGGCATCCCAGTGCGGGGGGGTGTCAGAAGTCCACTGGTGATCCCCGATTGATCCTAGGGAAGGGTTACAGGCACAGTTGCCTGGGGGGTTATGGGCGCACTGACCCGCTACTGAAACAAGCCCTTTTATCCCAATGGTCTAGTGGTTGGGATTCTAAGAAGTGCTACGCTGGCAGCGAGGCTCGGGCTGTTGGAAGTGGACACTGGAATGGCCCGAAGTGGTCTCCCCAAAGGCTACAGGTGTCGTCCTGGGGGGGTATGGGTGCGCTCACCCACCAAGGAAACATGCCCTTTTATCCCAGCCGGTTAGCGGGCTGGAATGCTATCCCTGCATGGTGCGGTGAGCGTGGACGGCCCCGCAAGGATACCTTCAGATAGGAGCCAACTTTTGCACCTACTAAGTCGTTCGTAGGCCGGCAGCCTTCGGAGTCACCATGGTCAATCCCGTAGTCGAAGCGGGTGTAGCGGACACCTTGGAGACACGATTAGCTAATGCGAGGAGACACCACGAGGCTGGCGAGTACGGGACGATCCCCTTGGAGATCGTCGAGTTGGGCATCCGGGCGCAGTGGGCGACGGAGCACCCTTCCTATCCTGCATCTCCTCGACCAGCACGAAACGACGGCGGCGTCGACGAGGTGGTCGACGGAGGTGATCGAGTTAGTGGCAACGCGGGCACGAGGCAGATAGGAGTGCTCAGGTCTGCCGACGGTGGTGTCAGTGGGAGTCAAGCACGAGTGCAGCGGCCGATGGCACCTCAACCAAGTAGTGGAAGTCTCTCGGCGACGACGCATGTGACAGCAGGCAGGATCGCGCCGGCGTATGGCTACTTCAAGTTTTCGCCAGACAAGATCACCGTCGCACCTCTGCAAGGTCGACGGGACCTCATCACTTGGAGGGAGTCCATAGAACCACAGCTGGAGGTCGCCGGGCTGAAGGGCTTCGCCGATGGCACTGTGCCAATTCCGCACAAGGACGATGCCGAGCTGCGCGGGGAGTTTCGTGCTGCTCACTTGCTCACTTTCATGGTCATCGCGAGGTGCTGCTCGCCGGTGAGGAGATTAACTCTACAACGGTGGGAGCTAGACTATGGGGTTGGCACGAGTTGTAGGAGTGATCGTAGCTCGGTCTGTGTTCTCTAGGGCT